CCGGCTGTTCCAAATTAATAAACAATTCCATTAATTGAACCTACACTTTATCACCTCTAGATAAAAGATTAAATGCCTCATGAAATTTACTATTTTCTACCTGTAATAAAATTAATATTAACTTGAAAATATTAAATGAAAAGTAGCGTTGTTTTGACATGGTTGGAATTATGCCATTTCACATTAATATTAAAGAGATCATTTTGACATGAGGAAAATTATATATTATTATTATATTAATAAAAACATGTGATTCTGAATTGGAGGTAAATTTATTCAAACTTTTCAGAAATAATAAATAAATTAATAATAAACATGGAAATAATGAAAAAAATAAATAAATAAATATCTACCCATCAACAATTCTCTGATTTTAACCTTATAAACTACTTATCATCATCATCATCATCATCATCATCATCATCATAATTAATTAATAAATAATTCATATTTAAATTATTCAAATTAATTAACTATTTAATTTCCTTATTAAAATTATATTTCATTAATATCAAGGTCACTTAATAAACTATCATTGCTTTTTAAGTTCAATTTAGTAAATTCATCATTTACATCATTTAATATTCTACTTGTATGATATGCTAATGGATGTGATTTGTGAATTTGTTGTGAATTACTAATACTAATGCTACTACTAACATTATTGATAATTTCTTTTAGTTGATCATCAGCAAAATCCCAAAGCTCTCCAATAGTTGGTCTCTTGGCTGGATCCACATCCCAACACCTTTGTGTCATTTGTGCATAATCATTGGGCATTCCTGGTAATATTGGTGGTCGTAAACCTTCACATATTCTTAATTACAAATGAAAATCATGAGCTCTATCATCAAATGGTGGATGTCCTGCAAATATTTCCCACATTAACATCCCAACACTATAAATATCAGTTTCTTTTGTGTGTTTTGTATTACTCTTGCCACCAAGTAGCTCAGGTGCAATATAAGATACAATTCCATAAATTTTGTTTGATGATTTTTCATCAACTGGTCCACATAATCCAAAATCTGTGATGAAACAGTAACCTCCTTGCATTAATATATTACCACTATGTAAATCACAATGAATTAAATCTTTTTCATGTATACGATATAATGCAATACATAAAGAATTGAAAATATCAATTCTATCTTTTGATCTTAAGTTTGAATGATTTTTTTGTACATAATCTCTTAAATTTCCCTCTGAATTATAATTAAGCACCATTGCATAATTTCCATTTTCTGGGGATTTAGTTATACCGTAACAAAGAACAACTGAGCCTGATTTAATTTTACAATAATTCAATGCCTGAAATTAATTATATAAATAAGTCAATTAGTTTAAAATAAAAAAAATGGTTTAATTTAAATAAGAACAATTACCTCATCAAAAAAAGGTTTTCCTGGATTACTTGAATTATTTAACGATTTTAATACTACATTCTGAGCTCCAGAATAACTAAACTCCTTTTTATTTTCATCATAATCGTCAATAGTTCCTCTTGTCCATAAAGCAGTATAAATAGAACTGAATCCACCTTCTGTTAACTTTTCTATATTATAAAATTGCTCATAAGGTATCCATTCTATAATGTGCTTTGGAAGAGATGAAAGCTGTTGACATTTTTGAATAAAACCATCAATTATCTCACTTCCAGATGTCCAAGTGCTGAAAAGGCTCTGTAAATGTAGGCTAATACACTTTTCACAAAACATATCAGAGTATCTTGTTGTCTCACAATCATTGCATTCTCTTGGTTCACCCAATTTATAAGTTGCATTCTCTAATTCAAAATTATAAATAAACTCTTCTCTACAAAATTCTTTTTCATTTTCTAATAGTACTTTGTTTTCTTTGACTAATTGTAAAAAATAACTTTTTCCATTTTCTCAGTTGGAAAAGCAGAATAAGCAATACCACGCATTTCATTATAAATTTTAAGTACTGATTCTCTTCTGTCTAGTGTTAATAATTTAGCAAAGGACATTTTAACTTAATATTTATTTTTTTAAATTTTTAAAAATAATTTTGTATACTTTGTTTGACAACATTTCTTTTTGTGGTATTTTGACGATCCGTCTATAAATGAGTCTCAAGGAGCAACTTACTGCGCCTCAAAAACATTTCCCAAATAACAATTGTTCTGCCGCGTGATTTCAGAATGCTTTCGGTCACGTGATTACAAAAGATCATTCCATAAACGGGAAAAATCGGTAATAAAATAAATCTCATTTTTTGAAATGCGAAAAGGAAAGATATTATTTCCATTTTTGAATATAGTGTAGTATAATATGTCTAGTTTATTGGTACCCCGATGTATATATATGAGACCATTTAGATTATTTTAAATGACAGTTTGTTCTTTATGATTTAAATGGGTTAATTCCACTTTTTTTTTTGTTGGCACCTTCAAACAAAAGTTTGTTTTTGTATGTCATTTTCTTAAAATCCTTGTTATTATGCCCATTGTTCAATATATCTAATGCTAACTTCCCAAGTTGGGAAATGCATACTAGAATCCTATTTTATGTTCTCATTCTCATTCTCATCCTCCTCGATATCATCACTTACTATCTTCTTAAAAACGTGGTGGTTGGTATAAATTCGCTTTCGTTTTCAGAATCACAAGTTAATGTAAATACATTATGATCAACAAAGTTTTTATTTTTATTTTTATGATATTAAAATCTTACGCGTAGGATATATACAGTATATCTAATTTCCTTATTCATTTACAATAGACAAAAAAAGCCTGTATAAACATTTATTTTTTCATTTGTCTTAAAAAAGTCAAGATACTCACCGAGACCTAAAGTTGCGATTTCAAAGGAGAGTCGGTGGTCCAATGAAAATTTATCGCCATTGAATTATGACATTTTGAAAAAGATTGACTATGTTAGCTTCAACACGTAATAGTAATAGTAAAGCCACACAACCCAAAATTTCGGTGGGTAAGAGGCGTGACACTTGCGTGACGGGCAAATATCGGGGAAGGGAAAGAGACAGGAGTGGTGGGCATTTTTGACTGTTGTAGATGTTCTAATTACTAGTAAATAAGAATGATTTATTTATTATTTGACATTTTGTAATTAAAAATTATTGAAAACTATTTGATTGATTTTTTCTTTTTCTTGTTGTGATTTTGTTAATTTCAAAACTTTTACTCCATGACTTGGCACCTCTGCGGAATACCTTTTTAATGATGAAAGTTTTAATTCAAAGTCAATTATTTAAAATCTATTATTCAAAAAAAATTTGTTTTTACCTGTTAGTGAACACCCCGATATCTTTATGATCCCATAAATCTCTAATTAGAAATGTTGAATTTGCTTTTCCGATATGTTTAGAAAAAACAACAGAGATGGTTATTGGTGACGAATTATCAAGATTTAAAAGGACTATGGAGGAGGAGTGAGTGAATTGATTAGTAGCAATCACTAGTAGCAACCACCGATAATTACAAAAACAGCTACACTACGACTTACTGACTACATAACCATCAATCAATGGACCAGTCCAAATATTATGATTTTTGGATTGTTCGACAATATTTATAGATCTACCGAGTGGATCTTGCTAATAATCGGGAGGTTAAGAGTGAGTGAGAATGATATTTATTTTTTTAGTAAACATGTATATAAGATAATTATGCACTCTACATTTATAGCTATAATTTCTTGATTCTTGACAATCTCGAGAGTTGCTTTTGGAGGATTAATCAACTAAAGTAATAATAATGTTAGATATTTATACCGACTAATTGATTTACTTGACAATTCAAAAGAAAGGAATCTACCCATACATTAAATCCCAGTAAAAGTGGAGCTTTCAAAGCAGCCCAAAGGGAGAAATGAGCCTTTTGTTCTTCGATGGTTAGTCGGCCATTGCCGACTTGTAACATGTCAGGGTCGTTCCAACCACCTGGACCGGAATATTTAGTTATGGCTTGATTTCTTTTCAATATTGAAATGATTGAACTCCAATTTGGGTGTATGTCTCCTGTTGTTCTCCAACTATATATATATATATAATGGATAATTGTGTGGATGTTGGATATTATTGTTGTTGTTAATAATTATGATCAATGGAATATTGATAATGGCTTACCTGTTTCCAACTGAAGGTCCCCACAAATATGGTTTGCTTCTTCTGCAATAGTCAATTAATTAACCAATCAACAACAATATTAACAATAATATTAACAATAATATTTAAATTGTTGTTACCCCCATTCACATATGCTGAAAAATATTGGTCTTCCAGTAGCTGTAAAATTGGACAAATTAAGCTTTAATTTCTGATAAAGAAATTATCACCAACGTTATTAATATTTGATTGCAGATTTTTACCATTAAGCGCATCTCTCATAACCTAACAACATTGATTAACAACAGATCAGTCAATTAAAGATATTAATTAAATCTAAAAAGAAGCAAGTAAATGATCATTTATTTACAGTGTATCTTTGCAATTCAGGAGTGCCGTCGTTATTACAATTATCATATTTCAAATAGTCAACATCCCACGAAGCAAATGTTTGGGCATCCTTATACTCGTACCCTATAAACTTGAGATTAATATTAGGACTGAGATTGATTTAAATTGAGATTTAGTCATGAGATATTAACATAAATGAATTAATTTACCGAGACTCCCAGGACGTTTCGCACAAGTTAAATAACCAGCATCGCTATAAATACCAAACAGCAATCCTTTGGAGTGAACATAATCAGCCAAGGCTAATAATAATAATAATAATAATAATAATAATTAGTAATCGATGTTTCATAGTACAAACTAATCGAGTGATTGGTTTATTGGTTCACCTTTTATGCCACTTGGAAAACTATTAAATAAAAATTTTAATTAACCACATGCACGTTCTCACATATATTTAAATGATATGCAATTACGACTCACGTGATATTATTAGAAGTAATAAAACCATTCTCGTCCCTTTTTCCTTCCCAGCAATCGTCTAAAATTGGATAATTAAAATGGCTGGAGTTATCAAAGGATCAGAAATTGAATTAACTGTTTATAGTTAGCTGATTACCCATATTCAAGTATTTATAGCCAACTTGATATAGTCCATTGTCGATTAATGAATCGGCAGTTTTCTTGATCAAGTTTTCATTTATTCGAGTATGATACTAGACTCGATTGATGATTGTTAGCACAAATATGGAAAATAATAATATAAATTCAATTTAAATTCAATTCAGTTGGAATTCCAATAATTTTAATTATTAATCCAAATTAGTAAATAAATACATACATAATTCCAACTATTCCATCCCATTGGAGGAGTCAATCCAACTCCGTTATCCAAGCAATCGACAACAAAATTTAATAATAATAATAGTAATATTAGCAAACAAATCATTGTTAATTTATTAATTGTGTATTGATTTGTTTTTTTTTAAAAAAAAAGTTACAGTAACATAAAAAAAACAAGATATTTATATATTCCGTTAACCAATTATTTTAATCGATATTGTAATTAATACTAATTAGTTAAAAATAAAACTTTTAATTGGTTTCTTTGTTTTTTAAATCGCCAGTTCCGAATATATTAAGAAAAATCGATCCACATTTTTTGGTGTGCCCCGTGTTTAAGTTTAAACTATTTTGAGTAAATATATTTTTGATATATTGTGAATGCACCATGACTGTATTAGGACCCTTTTTTATACCATATAAAAGCCATTTATATTTTTATAATATAATAAAAAAAATTTTTATCCCACCTAAAGAATCTTTATAGTAAAAGGTATAGTTCATCTATAAACATATAGATAGATGTTTATTAAATAAACTACGCCATCATATAATCTAATCATACTATTTTAAACCTACTACATACATACAATACTACACTTTTTTTTTATTTTTTTTTTTCAATTCTTCAAATTTTCTTTTGAATTCAAAAAACGAAAATATCAACAATTAATAATTATATATATATTATTTCAAAAATAAAAAATCTTCTCGACAATTGAAAAAAAAAAAAACAATTAAATAATCAAAATAAATAAACAATAAAGACAATCAATAAACAAAATAAACAAATTACAAATAAACGCGTCACGAAGAATTGTTTATATTCTCACATTCTCACGCACATATATCTATATTATACAGCATTATATTCATAATCCTCTCTACTCGAAAAGAAAAAAATTTTTTTTCGTAATCTATAAAAAAAACCCCTTTTTCAGAATTAGCATAGTTATAAATCTTAAAATAATAATAATAATAAATAATGTTTGCACCCAGATCTTCAAGACCTGCTACAGTTGCCATCTATCCTTCAAATAATAAGCCTGGGTTCAGAAGAAAAAAAAAAGGAGAAAATTCTACACCTGCTGTTTGTATTTATTATTATTATTATTGTTATTGTTATTTTGTTGTTGTTGAATGATTAATTTAATAAACTTCAATCAAGGTTTTAATTCCATAAAAAATTCAAAACTTTTAGATTGAACTTGAACGCATAATAGGATTAACAACATTGAAACCAACAGCTTTAACCACCGCTCCATCTCTAGATCTTGTAGCATATGCAGCTGGTGCTGTCGTCACATTATATAATCATAAGAAAAACAAACAGATTGGTTTCTTATATGCTTCATCAGCAACTCTACCAAATCCTCAAGCCGCAAATCAATCAAATAATTCTGCTCCTTCGTCATGGTCTGCCGCCTTTCAAAATCGTCATACAATTGCCGGAGATGTAATGGCTAGTCCATTGGGTACTGGTACTTCTTTGGGTGTAATAGATCCCCAGAGTTCAATATCCGGAAATTCATCAAATTCTAAAAAAATACCTGTAAATAACAAAGCAAAACCAATATCCTGTCTTGCCTTTTCACCCGATGGAGTCTATTTGGCTGTTGGCGAGGTGAATAATTGCTGTTTTTTTTTTTTGCCTAAATTTCGCTTTTTATTATTAATTGCTATTGGTTCTATTGATTCTGTCGATTGTTAGAGTGGACATCAACCACGTATTTTAATATGGGAGGTTCAAACAAAAACTTTAATTAATGAATTAAAAGGTCATAAATTTGGCGTGCTAGCACTTAGCTTTTCTCCAAATATGAAATTCATTGTATCTTTGGGGTTTCAAGTACGTCTATGTTTAGTGTAGATATATATATATATATATATCGATAATAATATTTATTATTTAACAATTAACTAATCTTCCTTACCAATCTTCTCATCATTCCATCACCCATTCTCCACTACCTTCTATCTCTCAATATAAGCATGATGGATATTTAAATTTATGGAATTGGAAAACTGGAGTAAAAATTGCTTGCAATAAAGTTACTACCAAAGTTCATACTTTGGCATTCAATCGAACTGGTTCTTACATTGTTACAGCTGGTCTGAGACATTCATAGTTGAAATTTATTTGTGTAAAGTTCTTTTAAGGCTACCAGAAACCGTTTATACCAGGCTACTATTACATTAATTTGATTTCTGTTTTTTTTTTCAATTATGACATCACGACAAATATTTAAAGTTTGTATTTGTAACAGTCCTTTTGTTTCTTTAAACAGAAAATTGAAACCAGAGAAGTTTATCAGAACTAAAGTCATATTATTACAAACAATCAAACAATCTTTGTTACTATATAATTAATTAGCATTATTAATAAGTAATATATTCCCCTTGATTTAACAAGAATCTGGAATAAAAAACTAAGAAAAGATAACTATGTTAATATGGGTCGCAATTTGTAATCAGGCCTCACTATGTGGTTTTTTGTCAGTATGTAGGCATTGCAAGGTGGCTGTTGACAAAATTAGAATATGACGACAGCAAGTTTGACTTTATATACTGAGACAAGCAAATATTTATGAGCAGAATTCTAACACCACCTTGATTATATATCCATTGCTTAAAGTATACTGGGAGCAACTAAAAGTGTCACAAATCATGGATGAAATTTTGATTGATCAGATTACCACCAAATGGTTTCGATTGTTAGTTAATGATTTATTATTATTAAGAGTAAATTAATTGGTGCACAATTTTATTGTTCAAAAACGATTCTATGCTACAATGGTCTCAACTTATTTTATCAAGGAAGCAGAGGCAAATAGTCTGAATTTATGGTCTTTAAATCATAATTAATGAATATTTTGTTATGCAAAACAAATAATGTATGTTCATCAATAATTTCACATTTTTATCAGGAAAACAGTTGTAAAAGATTAGTGCACAATATTTTTAATATATTAACTAAAGAGTACTGACTGCCTCCATTATTTTTACCAGAATCACAAGCTGGACCCGATGTTATGGCTAATGTAATTTTCCTGAAAATAATTAGGAAAACCACATGCACTTATAATGACCTGGTTTATTTTCTTCAACTAGGTATTTTTGTTTATCTTCAGGCAAAATTATGTAACCACTTACCTAAGGCTGACAGTGCACAATCTTCTTCAGTGACAGTATGCTGCTCATTTCTTTATAATGCTAAAGCTCAAATAATGAGGTGCAAGAGATACTTCAACAGAAATACAATGAAAATTTTCAAGTACTCATTGTCATTCCAATAGTTGTTGAATTAGAATGAAATCGGAGAACAGAGATGATGATATTCAATTACTAATAAAAGATAGGTGAGTGGCAATTATTGGCATATATACTAATAGAACTCTTAAAGCAGTTACATTATAATTTTAATGTTACAAAAAATAAAAAAATAAAAACATGTTCAATTTTTTTCATATGACATTCATTACATTTACCTAATTGTGATGTGTTGCTTTTAAATTGAAAGCCAATGTTTAAAAAAGTCATTTAGAATGCAAATGATACCTGCATTTCATATTTTTAACCTGCAATGTCCCATTCCGGCTGTTCCAAATTAATAAACAATTCCATTAATTGAACCTACACTTTATCACCTCTAGATAAAAGATTAAATGCCTCATGAAATTTACTATTTTCTACCTGTAATAAAATTAATATTAACTTGAAAATATTAAATGAAAAGTAGCGTTGTTTTGACATGGTTGGAATTATGCCATTTCACATTAATATTAAAGAGATCATTTTGACATGAGGAAAATTATATATTATTATTATATTAATAAAAACATGTGATTCTGAATTGGAGGTAAATTTATTCAAACTTTTCAGAAATAATAAATAAATTAATAATAAACATGGAAATAATGAAAAAAATAAATAAATAAATATCTACCCATCAACAATTCTCTGATTTTAACCTTATAAACTACTTATCATCATCATCATCATCATCATCATCATCATCATAATTAATTAATAAATAATTCATATTTAAATTATTCAAATTAATTAACTATTTAATTTCCTTATTAAAATTATATTTCATTAATATCAAGGTCACTTAATAAACTATCATTGCTTTTTAAGTTCAATTTAGTAAATTCATCATTTACATCATTTAATATTCTACTTGTATGATATGCTAATGGATGTGATTTGTGAATTTGTTGTGAATTACTAATACTAATGCTACTACTAACATTATTGATAATTTCTTTTAGTTGATCATCAGCAAAATCCCAAAGCTCTCCAATAGTTGGTCTCTTGGCTGGATCCACATCCCAACACCTTTGTGTCATTTGTGCATAATCATTGGGCATTCCTGGTAATATTGGTGGTCGTAAACCTTCACATATTCTTAATTACAAATGAAAATCATGAGCTCTATCATCAAATGGTGGATGTCCTGCAAATATTTCCCACATTAACATCCCAACACTATAAATATCAGTTTCTTTTGTGTGTTTTGTATTACTCTTGCCACCAAGTAGCTCAGGTGCAATATAAGATACAATTCCATAAATTTTGTTTGATGATTTTTCATCAACTGGTCCACATAATCCAAAATCTGTGATGAAACAGTAACCTCCTTGCATTAATATATTACCACTATGTAAATCACAATGAATTAAATCTTTTTCATGTATACGATATAATGCAATACATAAAGAATTGAAAATATCAATTCTATCTTTTGATCTTAAGTTTGAATGATTTTTTTGTACATAATCTCTTAAATTTCCCTCTGAATTATAATTAAGCACCATTGCATAATTTCCATTTTCTGGGGATTTAGTTATACCGTAACAAAGAACAACTGAGCCTGATTTAATTTTACAATAATTCAATGCCTGAAATTAATTATATAAATAAGTCAATTAGTTTAAAATAAAAAAAATGGTTTAATTTAAATAAGAACAATTACCTCATCAAAAAAAGGTTTTCCTGGATTACTTGAATTATTTAACGATTTTAATACTACATTCTGAGCTCCAGAATAACTAAACTCCTTTTTATTTTCATCATAATCGTCAATAGTTCCTCTTGTCCATAAAGCAGTATAAATAGAACTGAATCCACCTTCTGTTAACTTTTCTATATTATAAAATTGCTCATAAGGTATCCATTCTATAATGTGCTTTGGAAGAGATGAAAGCTGTTGACATTTTTGAATAAAACCATCAATTATCTCACTTCCAGATGTCCAAGTGCTGAAAAGGCTCTGTAAATGTAGGCTAATACACTTTTCACAAAACATATCAGAGTATCTTGTTGTCTCACAATCATTGCATTCTCTTGGTTCACCCAATTTATAAGTTGCATTCTCTAATTCAAAATTATAAATAAACTCTTCTCTACAAAATTCTTTTTCATTTTCTAATAGTACTTTGTTTTCTTTGACTAATTGTAAAAAATAACTTTTTCCATTTTCTCAGTTGGAAAAGCAGAATAAGCAATACCACGCATTTCATTATAAATTTTAAGTACTGATTCTCTTCTGTCTAGTGTTAATAATTTAGCAAAGGACATTTTAACTTAATATTTATTTTTTTAAATTTTTAAAAATAATTTTGTATACTTTGTTTGACAACATTTCTTTTTGTGGTATTTTGACGATCCGTCTATAAATGAGTCTCAAGGAGCAACTTACTGCGCCTCAAAAACATTTCCCAAATAACAATTGTTCTGCCGCGTGATTTCAGAATGCTTTCGGTCACGTGATTACAAAAGATCATTCCATAAACGGGAAAAATCGGTAATAAAATAAATCTCATTTTTTGAAATGCGAAAAGGAAAGATATTATTTCCATTTTTGAATATAGTGTAGTATAATATGTCTAGTTTATTGGTACCCCGATGTATATATATGAGACCATTTAGATTATTTTAAATGACAGTTTGTTCTTTATGATTTAAATGGGTTAATTCCACTTTTTTTTTTGTTGGCACCTTCAAACAAAAGTTTGTTTTTGTATGTCATTTTCTTAAAATCCTTGTTATTATGCCCATTGTTCAATATATCTAATGCTAACTTCCCAAGTTGGGAAATGCATACTAGAATCCTATTTTATGTTCTCATTCTCATTCTCATCCTCCTCGATATCATCACTTACTATCTTCTTAAAAACGTGGTGGTTGGTATAAATTCGCTTTCGTTTTCAGAATCACAAGTTAATGTAAATACATTATGATCAACAAAGTTTTTATTTTTATTTTTATGATATTAAAATCTTACGCGTAGGATATATACAGTATATCTAATTTCCTTATTCATTTACAATAGACAAAAAAAGCCTGTATAAACATTTATTTTTTCATTTGTCTTAAAAAAGTCAAGATACTCACCGAGACCTAAAGTTGCGATTTCAAAGGAGAGTCGGTGGTCCAATGAAAATTTATCGCCATTGAATTATGACATTTTGAAAAAGATTGACTATGTTAGCTTCAACACGTAATAGTAATAGTAAAGCCACACAACCCAAAATTTCGGTGGGTAAGAGGCGTGACACTTGCGTGACGGGCAAATATCGGGGAAGGGAAAGAGACAGGAGTGGTGGGCATTTTTGACTGTTGTAGATGTTCTAATTACTAGTAAATAAGAATGATTTATTTATTATTTGACATTTTGTAATTAAAAATTATTGAAAACTATTTGATTGATTTTTTCTTTTTCTTGTTGTGATTTTGTTAATTTCAAAACTTTTACTCCATGACTTGGCACCTCTGCGGAATACCTTTTTAATGATGAAAGTTTTAATTCAAAGTCAATTATTTAAAATCTATTATTCAAAAAAAATTTGTTTTTACCTGTTAGTGAACACCCCGATATCTTTATGATCCCATAAATCTCTAATTAGAAATGTTGAATTTGCTTTTCCGATATGTTTAGAAAAAACAACAGAGATGGTTATTGGTGACGAATTATCAAGATTTAAAAGGACTATGGAGGAGGAGTGAGTGAATTGATTAGTAGCAATCACTAGTAGCAACCACCGATAATTACAAAAACAGCTACACTACGACTTACTGACTACATAACCATCAATCAATGGACCAGTCCAAATATTATGATTTTTGGATTGTTCGACAATATTTATAGATCTACCGAGTGGATCTTGCTAATAATCGGGAGGTTAAGAGTGAGTGAGAATGATATTTATTTTTTTAGTAAACATGTATATAAGATAATTATGCACTCTACATTTATAGCTATAATTTCTTGATTCTTGACAATCTCGAGAGTTGCTTTTGGAGGATTAATCAACTAAAGTAATAATAATGTTAGATATTTATACCGACTAATTGATTTACTTGACAATTCAAAAGAAAGGAATCTACCCATACATTAAATCCCAGTAAAAGTGGAGCTTTCAAAGCAGCCCAAAGGGAGAAATGAGCCTTTTGTTCTTCGATGGTTAGTCGGCCATTGCCGACTTGTAACATGTCAGGGTCGTTCCAACCACCTGGACCGGAATATTTAGTTATGGCTTGATTTCTTTTCAATATTGAAATGATTGAACTCCAATTTGGGTGTATGTCTCCTGTTGTTCTCCAACTATATATATATATATAATGGATAATTGTGTGGATGTTGGATATTATTGTTGTTGTTAATAATTATGATCAATGGAATATTGATAATGGCTTACCTGTTTCCAACTGAAGGTCCCCACAAATATGGTTTGCTTCTTCTGCAATAGTCAATTAATTAACCAATCAACAACAATATTAACAATAATATTAACAATAATATTTAAATTGTTGTTACCCCCATTCACATATGCTGAAAAATATTGGTCTTCCAGTAGCTGTAAAATTGGACAAATTAAGCTTTAATTTCTGATAAAGAAATTATCACCAACGTTATTAATATTTGATTGCAGATTTTTACCATTAAGCGCATCTCTCATAACCTAACAACATTGATTAACAACAGATCAGTCAATTAAAGATATTAATTAAATCTAAAAAGAAGCAAGTAAATGATCATTTATTTACAGTGTATCTTTGCAATTCAGGAGTGCCGTCGTTATTACAATTATCATATTTCAAATAGTCAACATCCCACGAAGCAAATGTTTGGGCATCCTTATACTCGTACCCTATAAACTTGAGATTAATATTAGGACTGAGATTGATTTAAATTGAGATTTAGTCATGAGATATTAACATAAATGAATTAATTTACCGAGACTCCCAGGACGTTTCGCACAAGTTAAATAACCAGCATCGCTATAAATACCAAACAGCAATCCTTTGGAGTGAACATAATCAGCCAAGGCTAATAATAATAATAATAATAATAATAATAATTAGTAATCGATGTTTCATAGTACAAACTAATCGAGTGATTGGTTTATTGGTTCACCTTTTATGCCACTTGGAAAACTATTAAATAAAAATTTTAATTAACCACATGCACGTTCTCACATATATTTAAATGATATGCAATTACGACTCACGTGATATTATTAGAAGTAATAAAACCATTCTCGTCCCTTTTTCCTTCCCAGCAATCGTCTAAAATTGGATAATTAAAATGGCTGGAGTTATCAAAGGATCAGAAATTGAATTAACTGTTTATAGTTAGCTGATTACCCATATTCAAGTATTTATAGCCAACTTGATATAGTCCATTGTCGATTAATGAATCGGCAGTTTTCTTGATCAAGTTTTCATTTATTCGAGTATGATACTAGACTCGATTGATGATTGTTAGCACAAATATGGAAAATAATAATATAAATTCAATTTAAATTCAATTCAGTTGGAATTCCAATAATTTTAATTATTAATCCAAATTAGTAAATAAATACATACATAATTCCAACTATTCCATCCCATTGGAGGAGTCAATCCAACTCCGTTATCCAAGCAATCGACAACAAAATTTAATAATAATAATAGTAATATTAGCAAACAAATCATTGTTAATTTATTAATTGTGTATTGATTTGTTTTTTTTTAAAAAAAAAGTTACAGTAACATAAAAAAAACAAGATATTTATATATTCCGTTAACCAATTATTTTAATCGATATTGTAATTAATACTAATTAGTTAAAAATAAAACTTTTAATTGGTTTCTTTGTTTTTTAAATCGCCAGTTCCGAATATATTAAGAAAAATCGATCCACATTTTTTGGTGTGCCCCGTGTTTAAGTTTAAACTATTTTGAGTAAATATATTTTTGATATATTGTGAATGCACCATGACTGTATTAGGACCCTTTTTTATACCATATAAAAGCCATTTATATTTTTATAATATAATAAAAAAAATTTTTATCCCACCTAAAGAATCTTTATAGTAAAAGGTATAGTTCATCTATAAACATATAGATAGATGTTTATTAAATAAACTACGCCATCATATAATCTAATCATACTATTTTAAACCTACTACATACATACAATACTACACTTTTTTTTTATTTTTTTTTTTCAATTCTTCAAATTTTCTTTTGAATTCAAAAAACGAAAATATCAACAATTAATAATTATATATATATTATTTCAAAAATAAAAAATCTTCTCGACAATTGAAAAAAAAAAAAACAATTAAATAATCAAAATAAATAAACAATAAAGACAATCAATAAACAAAATAAACAAATTACAAATAAACGCGTCACGAAGAATTGTTTATATTCTCACATTCTCACGCACATATATCTATATTATACAGCATTATATTCATAATCCTCTCTACTCGAAAAGAAAAAAATTTTTTTTCGTAATCTATAAAAAAAACCCCTTTTTCAGAATTAGCATAGTTATAAATCTTAAAATAATAATAATAATAAATAATGTTTGCACCCAGATCTTCAAGACCTGCTACAGTTGCCATCTATCCTTCAAATAATAAGCCTGGGTTCAGAAGAAAAAAAAAAGGAGAAAATTCTACACCTGCTGTTTGTATTTATTATTATTATTATTGTTATTGTTATTTTGTTGTTGTTGAATGATTAATTTAATAAACTTCAATCAAGGTTTTAATTCCATAAAAAATTCAAAACTTTTAGATTGAACTTGAACGCATAATAGGATTAACAACATTGAAACCAACAGCTTTAACCACCGCTCCATCTCTAGATCTTGTAGCATATGCAGCTGGTGCTGTCGTCACATTATATAATCATAAGAAAAACAAACAGATTGGTTTCTTATATGCTTCATCAGCAACTCTACCAAATCCTCAAGCCGCAAATCAATCAAATAATTCTGCTCCTTCGTCATGGTCTGCCGCCTTTCAAAATCGTCATACAATTGCCGGAGATGTAATGGCTAGTCCATTGGGTACTGGTACTTCTTTGGGTGTAATAGATCCCCAGAGTTCAATATCCGGAAATTCATCAAATTCTAAAAAAATACCTGTAAATAACAAAGCAAAACCAATATCCTGTCTTGCCTTTTCACCCGATGGAGTCTATTTGGCTGTTGGCGAGGTGAATAATTGCTGTTTTTTTTTTTTGCCTAAATTTCGCTTTTTATTATTAATTGCTATTGGTTCTATTGATTCTGTCGATTGTTAGAGTGGACATCAACCACGTATTTTAATATGGGAGGTTCAAACAAAAACTTTAATTAATGAATTAAAAGGTCATAAATTTGGCGTGCTAGCACTTAGCTTTTCTCCAAATATGAAATTCATTGTATCTTTGGGGTTTCAAGTACGTCTATGTTTAGTGTAGATATATATATATATATATATCGATAATAATATTTATTATTTAACAATTAACTAATCTTCCTTACCAATCTTCTCATCATTCCATCACCCATTCTCCACTACCTTCTATCTCTCAATATAAGCATGATGGATATTTAAATTTATGGAATTGGAAAACTGGAGTAAAAATTGCTTGCAATAAAGTTACTACCAAAGTTCATACTTTGGCATTCAATCGAACTGGTTCTTACATTGTTACAGCTGGTCTGAGACATGTCAAGTTTTGGTATCTTGATCCAAACGGAAATTTACCAAAAAAATCTGCCGTAATTATTACATTGATTTATTTTTTGTTGCATATATTATTATTAAATTAGCATGCATGCATACATACATACATATGTATACTTTTAAGCAAAATATTAAATTTTCTTTTTTCCCTTTATATTTATATATTTAGGGACAATCAATACAAAAATCATTAGTACAAGTGTTGGATGGCAGATCTGGGATATTGGGTGATCTGAGAGATAGTAATTTCGTTGATGCTGTTTGCTGTAAAAAATCTGATAACACATATTTTGTCACTTCGAATGGTCTGTTGTGCATGTTTACGGAGGGTAGACTAATGGATAAATGGGTGAATTTGCAGGTAAATTAAATAAATTTTGGGTGGTGCGAAAGTTTGCATGTATGTAAATGTGGTGACTAATTAGTTTATCTTTATTTTTACGGAGTAGGCCAAAGGTGCCTTTTCTATTGTTGCTAGTGAACAATATGTGATTTGTGCTTGTACAGATGGTGTGATCAGGTTGGAAATATTTTTCATATATATATATATATATATATATATTACACGTATATTTACTTGTACAGTATTTGCATAAATTTATATATTAACACCATCATTTATTATATCATCAATAATATAAGACTATTTGAACCTATGACTTTAAAGTATTTGGGCACATTGCCAAAACCTCACCCATTAGGTGTTGATTTAACTCTTCAGACTGGATCCACCTATAATAGTACAGGTGGCCCAAACGATATTTATCCTGACACTACTGCTATTAAATTAGATGATGAGACTGGTAAATTGTCTTGCATATACAGTGACAGGAGTTTCTTTATATGGGATATTAAAGATATAAAAAAAATTGGAAAATATCGTAGTTTCTTGTCTCATTGTGACACTATTTGGGGTGTTGAGGTAACATTAAATAATGTTGCTAAAGAAATATTATTAATAATAATAACGTTGTTATCGGTATCTTGTCGTTTAATCTTTATTTATTTTTGGATTTAAAGATGATTCCTAATAACGAGGATTCATCAACTAGTGAAAAATCAACTTCCTCAAGATTACCCGATAATACATTTGTAACTTATTCATCTGATAGTACTATACGTTTCTGGAATTTAGATCAAAATTCAAACTCATCATCATCTAATGCTAATAGTCATAATCGTAATAGTAGTAGCACCAGTAATAGTAATGTCATCAAAAAAAATATTTATAGCAAGGAATGTTTAAAAATAGTTTATGTCGATCCAAATGGTACTTATCAAATGTGTGCTACTTTGGGTGCTAAAAATGATGACTCTGGTAACAATCATGATTATTATTAAATTATAATTTATTTGTAAATAAATATCGATTTTTTAATTAATACTTTTCTGTAAACATTTTTATAAATTAATTATTAATATTTTACTAGAATCGTCATCATCAACTGATAATCATCAACCTGTTATAAGTGATGGCGGTGTTCGTACATTAAGAATTAGTCCTGATGGTAAATTAATGGCTTCCGGTGATCGTAATGGTAATTTAAGGTAACAATGGTTTTTTGACCGTTGAATATTACAATTTTTTATTATTTTTAAAGAAAATAAATTTATTAACCTTGAACGTTTTACGTCATTAATAGAGTTCACAATCTTGATGATTTTCAACAAATGACTTATCAAGAAGCTCATGATGCTGAAATATTGGCTATCGAATTCACTGATGGAAAATTACCCGGTATTAATTTCATTAATTGAATTGAAATAGTCTATATATCGTCATCATCTTTATTAACACGTCATCATTTCTTCTTCATTTAAAATTTAAAAAAGAATCTCCGTATTTGATTGCAACAGCAAGTCGTGATAGAATCTTGCATATTTTCGATATTAATTCTAATTTCCAACTGATACAAACATTGGATGATCATTCCTCGTCAATAACCGCTATCAAATTTACAAACGATGGTGGTAGGTTGATAAGTTGTGGTGCTGATAAAAGTATCATATTCAGAAGTAAACAAAATGTATGTTAAATATATATAAAAAATTTCCATTCATTATTTCTTGGTTTTTTTTTTTATTAAAATAATGATGGTTTATACTTCTTATATACACAACACCATTAACATCTTACAGACTAGCGATTTCCCTTATTATGCAACTTATCATAATATATCAGGAAGAGCTACAGTATTTGACATGGACATTGACGTATCCAATCGCTACATTGCAACTGTGTCAGGTGAACGTCGTCTAAATGTTTACCACATAGACACTGGCAAGAACGTTCGCTCATACAAATCCGACACACCCGATGAAGTGAATGTTCAAGATCAAGGCAGCTTACTAAGAATATCACTGGATCCTGGTGGTGTATGTGCCGTTACTGGTGGTTCAGACAAAAGTGTAAGATTATTTGATTTTTCAAATGGTACCATATTAGGAAAAGTATTGGGCCATTCGGAATTGATCACCTGTGTGAAATTTACTTCGGATTGTGAACGTGTCATTTCCACATCGGCTGATGGATGTATTTTTGTTTGGAAAATTTCTGATGAGTTGGTTAATAAAATGAAACAAAAATGGTTGGATAGAAGCAATTGTACTGGTACTAACAGCGGTAGATCATTTTCACCTGTAATGCATAGCTCACCTCCGCTGCCTTCATCATCATCTTCATCGTCTTCTTCTGCTACCACTTCTGCTCCGTCTATTATACATCCTAGAACTACTGTACCTGCTTTAAGACCAAATACATTGTTTGCAGAAAATCCATCATCATCAGCAGCATCAACTTCAACGAGTTCATTAGTTCCGCAACAATCAAATCATGAAGACTCGAATTCTCAAGAACCTAATTTTATTGTTCGCAAATCACCTTTAAAAACAACAAAATCTTATAGTTCATTAACATCGTCATCAATAAATGGTAATCCATCATTACCATCACCACCGTCGTCGTCGTCGTCATCATCATCATCATCACAACAAAAAAGACTAAATTCTTATCCTGATATAAATAATAGCTTGACACAAAATAAATCTGCATCAACTTCAAAACTGAATTTAGAAATTTCTTCTTCCACTGCTACTTCAGGCAAAAGTAACAGTAATCAACAAATATCATTTGCAAACTCATCTCCACCAAATAGTCCGCCTTCGCAAGGTTCGCCATCGACTACAAGAAGAGAATCTTGGAAACTTGGTTTACCAAGTTGGGCCAAAAAAGCTTTTAAAGAAAAAGATGATGAAAGGGCTACTTTTAATAATAATAGTAATAATAATAATAATAATAATAATAATAATAATAATAGCGGTAGCAGCAGTAATGTAGATAAAAGATTGCCACTATTACCAAAAACTGTTAAAAAATCAAAATCTTATGGTAGAATACGCCATGACTCATTTACATCATCTCCATCGCCATCAATTGGTGCAGGCGTAAATAATAAAATACCAGTTATTACTGTTAATAAAAATAAAATGGTGTCATTAGACGATTCAGTTATCACTTTATCATCACCAGTATCAAATATTAACAATAATCAACGACATCAACCAGTAGTAGCAAATGAAGATGAATCTGATTATGAAGATGACGAGGAAATAACTTCACCAATTGATGATTCGTCCGCTAACGAAGACACCGAGACTATTTTTATTGAGTTAAATGAAGATGAAGAAGAAGATTATGACATAATGGCTGATAATACATCATCATCATCACACCAAAACAATAAAAGAAGTCGCAGAAACAGTTTTGTTGGTGATTTAAAAGTTGTTGAAATTAATAACAATAATGATGTTGGTGGCGATCAACCAAAATCACATCCAGTTCATAGCGATGAAGAAATCGATGAGCTGGAAGATGATCATCAAATTGTAGAACCAGATGAGGAGGAAGAGGAAGAAGAGGAGGAGGATGTTAAAAAATTAGAATTGTATTTACAAACTCCTGTAAAAAGTGAATTTCCATCTGCAATTACCGCTGGAGATTCCCATGACGAAACAACAACACCATCAGACAATAGCAGGAAAAGAGAAAGCTTTACTACTAAATTTTATTCTGGTGGACATCGTATGTCAAGAGGATCTAGTTATAAAAATAATAGTATGATTGAAGCATTATCAACGTTAATAATGGATAAAGAAAATTCTACAATTGAAGAGGATCAGGATGATAAAAATGACTCTGTAAAAAAAGCATTGGAAGCTTTAGAAAGAAAAACCACCGAGGCTGTTGGTAAAGAATATGTATCTCGAACTCAACCTGAAGTTGAATTGAATGAACAATCTAATAATAATAATATTTTGCAGTCCACTACTACTACTACAACAAATAATGATAATGATAATGACGATGATGATAAAACTATCAGTATACCGGCAATAATGTTACCAGAAGATTCAAATATTAGCAATGAATCAAAAAAGAAAAATCAAAATACCAGTAATAATAACAATACAAGTTACATTTGTAGCAGTAACGGATTTAAATCTCTTGAGAGCAAGGGTGAAGGACTTGGCATAGTTGTAGATGTGAGTAAAGATAGTACGGGTCAGGATCCCGATGCACCTATCTCCAAACATAACACAAATTCAAGTACAATCTCAGAAGTCAATGAAGAAAGTATTGAGGAGGATGTGTTGGCGATGACTGTTTTATTGGAAAGAATACTTGTTGCTTATAAAAAAGTTTCCTCCCCTTCATTAACAGCATCATCGGCAACATCGTCATCATTACCAGTTAAAAATGAAAGCATGGCAAAATTAATTTCTGAAAGTTTAAAAGGAATGATAAATGATATTCATCAAAGTCTCAATGATATCAACGATAATAGTATTGGTAATAATCAAAGATATATTAATAACATTAGTACTAATAACAATAACATCAATAATGACGAAGGAGATGCTGAATCAAATCATTCTTATACAACAGCCTTAACTACACACAGTATAGTTGCTAATGGCATAAATGATATATCAAACCCAAATTCACCTTTGCTATTTAATAATAAAATAGGATCACCATTAGTTATATCACCATTATCTTCACCACAATTATCTAAATTAACTCCATTACCATCACCATCATCATTACATCAACAACATCAACACAATAATAATCGTCATCAGCAACAGCAGCAACAACAAGAAGTATTATTATCAGAAAACTTTACTCAAAATCTTTTAGAAAAATATTCAGATTTATTAATGAAAATGGTTAAAGAAAAAATGGAAGAAAAAACAACCAATAATGATAGTATCCCAAAAACAGGAATTAATGGTAATATCAGTTCCAATGATTCTGCTATTACTACAAATTTCTCATCATCGTCGTCGTCGTCAATTAATACAGTTATTTTAGAATCTAAAGGAAATACAACTGTCAATAATAGTAATAAACATAATAGTAGTAGTAGTAGTAGCAACAGTGGTAGTAATAATATTAGTTATATTAAATCAAATAAAGCTAGAAATAATAGTGGTGGAGTGACGAAAAATAAAAATTCTAAATCAAGGTTTGTGTAAATAGTATTGGTAAATAGATATTAAGGACGTTCATTATATATATATTTGATGTTTTTGATAGATGTCATACTATATATGATTGACTGAACATTTTATAGTAACATAGATATATAAATACATTTTGCATATATATATATATATATATAAAAAGCATATACATTAATAATTTTAGCTAATAATAATAATAAAGATATAAATAAATATTCATCTGGGTTTAAAATAAGCGATTACCATTATAATTGCCAATAATTGTTGTAACATTGCTCGAGTTAGCGGGTTGAAATTTTAAATACAGAAAAACATGATTTGCAAAATATAGGGAAGGTTGTCCTTTCTTAGGAAAATTCCGCCATTTTCAATTTATTCTAATCTCATCAATTAAGTCATCATACATACACATTGTTCCAAGATTTGATCATTTTAATTCTCATCATGTAAAATAATAATCGTGCTTTCAAATTTCCTGATAATCTTAACCATTACATATTCATTATATTGGCTGATGTTTTAGAATTTTCTGCTGAATTTTATATAGATCAATGATAAAAGAATCGTTGGTGATTGTAGGAAGAGAAGGGAAGCGACGAAACGTATCCAAATGCTGGGATTGGTAGATTCCAAATTACTTTGTTTATTGGGTGGAATGTTGATTAGAAATGCATATAGATTTGGAGCAATACATCCACTAGTTTAAGAAAGACATACCAAACATCATAAAGAAATAGAATCAATTTTAACCTTACCTTTTGAGTTGGCATTTCTTGTCTCCATAGCTTCGTCTAATATTCAAAAATTTTTTTAGAATAACCTATAAATAATAAAAGCCAATTAAAGGATATAATATACCTACTTGCCTTCATTGCTCAATTAAATTCTCCTTGCCCGTTTCGTGTGCTTTGCAAATCACTAAATTTTAATACACACCTTACATGTGACTGTCTCGTCCAACGTTCATACTTTTTCTTTCACTTGCGTGGAGGTTCCCTAAATAAGCCATGTTTATTGTCAGGAAATTGAATACAAAACAGGCACGATAATATACACCAAACCCAAGTACCATTGTATCTCTCGGAGGTCCTGGATTAGGAGGTCCTGGAATAAACATCTTGTTCGGATAAACTGCGACGTCTGGTGCGATACAACTTCTGTTTCTGTCTGGACCTGGTGAGGGATGTAGATGGAAAGGATGTGAAATATTGGAAAAACAATAACAAACCAAAGATCAAGCAAACTGGAAGAATTTTCTTACGCGAATGACCCAGAACATTTGCGTTAGTGAATTAGTGAGTGATAACATCACTTTGAAATAATCTTGCAATAGTGCGATTGAAGCTTGTGCACATATCGACTATAAATACGTTTCCGTTATCATACCGAAACTTATACTCAGACGATTCGTAGCTTTCAAGGAATGTATTATAGTTGTTTACTAATATATTTGAACCGATCTTAAAAGTGTAAACCACAATCCATATGAGTTAGTTAACACCGAGTGGAACTTAAAGTAACCTGCGTGATGTTCACTCGACTGTCCTCACCTAGAGGCTTCTTTGGTGACTTTGGGAGTTACAACTTCTCCTGGAGCCTCCTCATAAAAGTTCAATAAACTTGTTATTAAGTGTTGCGACATTTTGACACTTGAGAAAGTAAAAATATGATGGCCGGAGGAGAGAAGGAGTTGGATGATGGAGGTTGAGGAGAGGAACACTTCTAACCAATTTAGTTACGGATTTATTTTTATTTTTATTTTTATATAATAGTGTAGAGCAAACTTTTTATTTATTTTATTTTCTTTAAAAAAAAAATTAATGATTAATATTAAATCGAGATATCCGTAAAAACAACAACATCACGTGATATCTGTTATAATACTAATGCTAATACTAATACTAAAAAGCTTTTATTGAAATAAAAATAAATTCATTTTATTCTGTCATAGAAACTTCTCTTTTTAATATATTGACACTTCTAATTACTTGGGAATTAAATATTGCAAGTTCTTGTTGTTGAAAAAATTACACTAGTATTGGTTCAAATAGCATCGTCATTATCTGTTGTAGAGAAATATATTTATTATTATTATTATGAACGGACATATGAATTCTTAAAGAAACCCGGTAAGTCATCAATATTAATATGAAAAGACCGTTAAATCTGATAATAATAAGACGGACTTTGAAGTTTATCAGTTAAACAAGATCGATGCATTGTGTAATTGTTTTAGTAGTTTAAATATTATATACTTTTATTAATTGAAATCTAGCAAATGCATATTTATATGAGCGAATCTTATTTGTTGTTGAATATATTTTTTTTGAACGTTGTTGAAGAGGGCGTTTCATGGTCAATTATCCCTTTTGAATGTATAATATAGTCAGATCTATATGATCTTTTTGGAGCTGCAGCTTCTTTCATTCTATTCGTTATTTATTTGTTATTATGATGATGTTAATCATGTAATTTAGTGAAGCTCATTAATACATGTAGTCCAGAATATTCAGCAAGATACAAATGAGATTTTGAAAAATCAAGTCGTCATTTTGATTATCTTAATTGGAATTTGAAATTTGATTCCACGAACCCTGATATACGGTATATCAGTTTAAAGTTTACTATGTTTGGAAGGTCAAATTGAAACATTGGACTGAGCTCATATACAAATGGTTGTATAATTTTGAAACTTGATATCTTATAATGCAAGTCACTTAGTCACCAAACTTTCTTTCACAACTCCAATTTGGAATCAAAAAATGTAATAAAAATTTCGCAGTTATATGACTCAGGGTAAACTATAGATCACGAGAACTATAATTTAAATATAAATGATGAAATTATAGGAAAGGATATTTGTGAATTACAAGAAAATAAATAAACTCAGATCTAGTGAACCCATATTCTCGGCAATGGAATCTGTAAGCATTGATAACGAAACTCCTATTAAGATTTTTCTGATACAGAAATTATCGAAACTATATGCCTTTTAGAAAATAATGAAGTTGCCGAAGAATTAATATTGAACCTGTATCTTCTATTTCGGTTGAGAATACTTTGAAAGTTCAGAAAATCTTTTAGCCTCCTCCAAGTTTTTTTTTAAATTCTATTGGACAATACGAAGCAAACAACTATGGATGATTTTGTTACAAATGAATAATAGTTATTTTTATTTTGATCAAGGATCTTACCCTTTTTATAGAAAGTGTCTCAGCCATACATTCCTGATTATGAAATTAAAGTACAACTCTCGATAATAATGATGCCATAATTCGAAATGCATAAAATTCCCCATGTCAAATCTATGAATTTGATATATGTATTCCGTGTGCATTCTGCATCTATCTTATATGTATCCCATATATAAAAAAAGCTCGTTCACCGAAAGGTTCCATTTTAGTATGGTAATTCTGGAAAACATATAGTAAAACAGTAATTTTCTGTATTAATATATTTTTTTTTTTGAACATTTTCCCGTGCATTATTATTATACTGCGAGGTAGCTTTTGGTTGATACCGATATTTTGTATGTCCGAATTAACTTTCGATCGATTAATTGCAAACTATTATATTTGCTACTCACCGATTAAGCTATTTTACACGATTCTTGCTTACTGCCTCTCTCTTGTACCTAGAAAGCTTCGGCACACTTTGTGGTACAATAAATAAATGTTGCCCTATATAAAGCGGAAAATGCTTTTCTAAAGTTCCTTCTTTATTTACTTTTACTATTCTTTTGTCACTTAAAAGCTTGGTTACTTTATAAGACTCCTTAAAATTAATTGATTTGAAAAAAATTTTTTTTGTCAAAATTTGAGACAAAAGGTGGTAGTGATGTAGCAACCCAGATTTGCCCATGAATAATAGAAAAAGACTACATAACAAGATTTACAACCAATCGTGTAGAGTCTTTTGGTGGAGCGGTAATATGTGGTTTGCTGGAGCATTCCTCGAATGTTCTTGTTTCCTAATTACCATAAAAGAAATTCCCTATCAACTAATTTCTTTATTACAGTTATCGTCAATGTTGGATATCATATAAATAAAAGATAACTTGTACCAAAATAAAATAAATTATAAATTATAGAATTTGCAAAAAAAAAAAAATATTGATAATCATTGTCGCCTACTATAGCATTCTTTTTTTTGGTTGTTTGTTCTTCATCCTGGATTTTTGATTGACTGACATTTTCATCAATATCATTATATCAATGTCATCATCATTCCAATATTGTTGTGATTATCGTGGTCTTGGTGGTCTTAATGTATCGCAATTTAGATTTCCTATTATTGAATCATGACATTTTCATCAATGTCATTTTCGTCATTTTCGTCATCTACATTATTTGGATTGTTAGTGTTTATGTGATTCTTGTATCTCAATGGTCTCAATGGTCTTGATGGTAGTAGTATGTGATGATGATACATTTCCTGGACAATACTTACAAATTCGCTCCATGTTGTTTCTAGTTTATTAAGATCTTTGGATCTGTTGTATGTGAAATTGAATTGAAATTTATAATTAAAATTTTGGGGTGGGATGTTTGGATGTGAAATTCGATTGGCTAATTTGAATTTCACGTATGTGAATTTGCAATTCACATAGATTTCATTTTCACGCACAACAGATCCATAGATCGATCTTCAGGCATCATGTTTGAAATTTATTCAACAAATTTTTCCATTAGGTAATTATAAAGACTACCATCTTTTGAACATATCTATATTCTTTGGTGATCAGATCACGCTAAACCATTATTTGTTCAAGCTGATATGAAAATCCTAATTTTATCAAAAAATTAAATAATAATAAGTTGTTTTTTCTTTTCAGAACTAATCTTTATTGGCATTGTCTATGATTTATAAACTTATTACCATTTCTCCAAATAGATTTATATATAATTACAAATACACCTCCACCTATCTTTCCAACATTGTCAACTCTTCATATGAAATCCATTGAAGATAGTTTCATTAAAATAAACTATTGCCTTAAGCTGTTTAGTTTTAATAATCACTGGGTTCAGCCTTTAGTTAATAGCTGGGGATTGCATACTTGGCACCATCTATTACATATTATACATGGCCTACACATTCCTTAAGGGTAGGGTAAATCACGTGATTATGATCATGGCTCAAAATTTTTGACTGCCGGTTTCTGAAATTTATCATTATAAAATTGTCATGAAAATTTCCTACAGTGCGGATCATCTATACTCAAAAGTTAAATTTTTGAAATATTGTGTGATCCACACATTTGATTTAAAAAACTTACCACCATTCAATTCAGCTTTAAAAGAGACTATTTATCCAAAAAAAATTTTGTCTCAAATTTTCTTTTCATAGATTTTTTAAATTTGAAAGTTATGCTCAGAAGTGCAACAATAATTTTTGTGTTACAATATTTTTGAATCTTGCGACCAAATTTTGGTAATGATTTTCTTTTAATGTAATATGTTCGTTAAACTTTTTTGTTGTAAAGAACTTTTATTTATTAATAAAAAAAAGGAAATAAATAAATCAAATAAATCAAATGTATGTTGTAGAAATATTCTATGAAAAAAAAAATTTGTTACACGAAATTTACTTAGTCTCAATTTCTTAAATGTATAACAAAATTCGGAATTTTCAAAATGCTAAGGCGCTGCCAATTTTCAGTTTAAGAAAAAACAAGCCGATAAGTTTTGAAGCTTGAGTCATGAAAATTTCCTACAGTGCGGATCATCTATACTCAAAAGTTAAATTTTTGAAATATTGTGTGATCCACACATTTGATTTAAAAAACTTACCACCATTCAATTCAGCTTTAAAAGAGACTATTTATCCAAAAAAAATTTTGTCTCAAATTTTCTTTTCATAGATTTTTTAAATTTGAAAGTTATGCTCAGAAGTGCAACAATAATTTTTGTGTTACAATATTTTGAATCTCACGACCAAATTTGGTAATGATTTTCTTTTAATGTAATATGTTCGTTAAACTTTTTTGTTGTAAAGAACTTTTATTTATTAATAAAAAAAAGGAAATAAATAAATCAAATAAATCAAATGTATGTTGTAGAAATATTCTATGAAAAAAAAAATTTGTTACACGAAATTTACTTAGTCTCAATTTCTTAAATGTATAACAAAATTCGGAATTTTCAAAATGCTAAGGCGCTGCCAATTTTCAGTTTAAGAAAAAACAAGCCGATAAGTTTTGAAGCTTGAGTCATGAACAATAAAACTTATCGGTTAAAATTTTAAAATGATATAATTTTTTTTGTTTTAGTATTTTGAAGTTGACCAATTGCTACTATAAGCAATTAATTCGTGTTCCACGAATAAATAATTAGTGCTGATCGGGGCAAAAAATTTTATTTTCATATTAAAATTAATTTGGTCGATTTTTTTGCCCCCATAAAAAGTCACACATTTATTATGTTACATATATTATCTTTTATATCCAACTATGTTAAACAAATGTGAAATATTATATTTACTTATGAAAATATGAGCTGTTAAATTTGTCAGTTTTCTGTTATTTAACCAGCGGTCCTGGATTATGGGTATAAAATTCATATTTTTTACATATATAAATTATTGGAAAACATAAGAATGTGTCAAAAAATAAATATAAAACATTTTAATATCAACTAAAAAATAACTTTAAAACTCAAAATGTTGAATT